CTCTGTGCATGTGTGTATAAACATTTGGTGCTACATGTAATCAACAATCTCACTTACTCATGGTTCATCTGGATAGTTCGCCCTCTGTGTGGAAACATATTGGAGATTGGGTGGTTCTGCTACATCAACCATGGACCACTAAGATAGTCTGCGCCATGCGCATGCACCGAGCGTCCTCGCGCAGCACGGTAGATCTTAGCGATCTGAAGGCATCACAAATCAGGGCTCCCTATATTTCCCCTTAAAACATCACCAAAGGACACTCATGGCAAAATAGGCAACCCAAAACCACCAAGGGACATATCGGGAGCCCTAAAAAAAACTGAGAATCCACATCGCCAGCGCCGGGATTAGGAAGGCAAGTCATCCAGCCAGCGGCATGGGTTCAAGTCTGGCAGGAGATGTACGTGCCTGGCGAAACCTGGAAAGCTGTAATCCCGTAGGTCTTGGTTTCAGCCAAGGGTTGGTTTCGGGCTGGTTTCGGGTCTGGGGGTGATTTCGGATTGGGTACGCGGATACCCTCCTGCACATCAAGATGGAAACCAACCAACCTTCATGTCTGGGGGAATATCCTAGTTGAAGCGCTAAACGAGGGTGCCCTTGTTGGGTTCCATGTTCATTTGCTTCTCCCAGCCACCTGCACAGTTTGTGCTGCTGTCGCTTCCTGAGGTTACACGCTGCATTTTGAACGTGGACGGCTGCCCTGCGGAGTGAGTGTGAGAGAGGGGACCCGCAGGCTCAGCCTGCAGCGTCCCGGGAAGCAACACCAGCCATATATCATGATATCTATATATAATATAGTATATGATTTAGTATGATATAATGATATAGTGTAATATAACATAGTATAACATAAAATAATAGAATATAATATAATACAATATAATAGTATACAATAACATTGCATATCATGTCATAATATAATATGACATAATGTAATATACTATACTATACTATACTGTACTATACTATACATGTAATAGTGCATATACTTCTACATATGCTGTATTGGAGTCAGTGCACAAAGCCCACTCCCCCAATCCGATCTCATGTCAAAACCCTGGCAAACAAAAAGATCAACCACAAGGTTCCCAGTTTCCAGGTGAGCCGAGCCAAGTCAAGTTGCTGGAAACGGCTCTAAGCCACCAAGTCCCCTAATGCGTAGTTACGTACTTTTTCAGATTCTGTTTCATCTTTAGTCAATCCTAAAATGCAATAACTGGGGGAGACTCCGGTCTCCTCCGGGACAGCCGGCACCCGGGATGACATGGCTCCAGGTATCGCAGTCTCGCGCCCCAAGCGGGCTCGATCGACTCGATCGAAGAAAACCCCAAGCGGGCGAGGGTCGTGTTTGTGCTTCACGGGGTGATAATAGGTTGAGAAATATATATGAGGAGCGGACGAAACACTTTACTTGGCCCTAGTACTTTTTTGAACGTTATCGTTTTGGGGGAGACCTTATCGTTTTACAGTGTTTTCGACCTTTGGCAGATCCGGCTCGAAAATCGTAAATTTGTAGTAACTAAGTCTAGTACGCGAAGTACACTTCCGCATCTCCAGCTCGAAAATCGCAACTTTGTAGTACAAGTCTAGTACGCGAAGTACACTTCCGCATCTCCAGCTCGAAAATCGCAACTTTGTAGTACAAGTCTAGTACGAGAAGTACACTTCCGCATCTCCAGCTTGAAAATAGCAACTTTGTAGTACAAGTCTAGTACACGAAATACACTTCCGCAGCTCCAGCTCAAAAATCGCAACTTTGTAGTACAAGTCTAGTACGCGAAGTACACTTCCGCATCTCCAGCTCGAAAATCGCAACTTTGTAGCACAAGTCTAGTACACAAAGTACACTTCCGCATCTCCAGCTCGAAAATCGCAACTTTGTAGTACAAGTCTAGTACGCGAAATACCCTTCCGCAGCTCCAGCTCGAAAATCGCAACTTTGTAGTACGAAGTACACTTCCGCCGCTCCCGCTCAAAAATCGCAACTTTGTAGTAAAAGTCTAGTACGAGAAGTACACTTCCGCATCTCCAGCTCGAAAATCGCAACTTTGTAGTACAAGTCTGGTACACGAAGTACACTTCCGCAGCTCCAGCTCGAAAGTTGCAACTTTGTAGTACAAGTCTAGTACGCGAAGTAAACTTCCGCAGCTCCAGCTCGAAAATCGCAACTTTGTAGTACAAGTCCAGTACGGGAAGTACACTTCCACAGCGCTCCAGCTCGAAAATCTCAACTTTGTAGTACAAGTCTAGTGCGCGAAGTACACTTTCGCAGCTCCAGCTCGAAAATCGCAACTTTGTAGCACAAGTCCAGTACGCGAAGTACACTTCCGCAGCTCCAGCTCGAAAATCGCAACTTTGTAGTACAAGTCTAGTACGCAAAGTACACTTCCGCACCTCCAGCTCGAAAATCGCAACTTTGTAGCACAAGTCTAGTACGCGAAGTACACTTCCGCAGCTCCAGCTCGAAAATCGCAACTTTGTAGTACAAGTCTAGTACGCAAAGTACACTTCCGCATCTCCAGCTCGAAAATCGCAACTTTGTAGTACAAGTCTAGTACGAAGTACACTTCCGCATCTAGCTCGAAAATCGCAACTTTGTAGTACAAGTTAGTACGCGAAGTACACTTCCGCAGCTCCAGCTCGAAAATCGCAACTTTGTAGTACAAGTCTAGTACGCGAAGTACACTTCCGCCAGCTCGAAAATCGAAACTTTGTAGTACAAGTCTAGTACGCGAAGTACACTTCCGCAGCTCCAGCTCGAAAATCGCAACTTTGTAGTACAAGTCTAGTACGCGAAGTACACTTCCGCAGCTCCAGCTCGCAAATCGCAACTTTGTAGTACAATCCTAGTACGCGAAGAGTACACTTCCGCATCTCGAAAACCGCAAGTTGTAGTACAAGTGTAGTACGCGAAGTACACTTCCGCAGCTCCAGCTCGAAAATCGAAACTTTGTAGTACAAGTCTAGTACGCGAAGTACACTTCCGCATCTCCAGCTCAAAAATCGCAACTTTGTAGCACAAGTCTAGTGCGCGAAGTACACTTCCGCAGCTCCAGCTCGAAAATCGAAACTTTGTAGTACAAGTCTAGTACGCGAAGTACACTTCCGCAGCTCCAGCTCGAAAATCGCAACTTTGTAGTACAAGTCTAGTACGCGAAGTACACTTCCGCATCTCCAGCTCGAAAATCGCAACTTTGTAGTACAAGTGTAGCACGCGAAGTACACTTCCGCATCTCCAGCTCGAAAATCGCAACTTTGTAGTACAAGTGTAGTACAAAAAGTACACTTCCGCAGCTCCTCCAGCTCGAAAATCGCAACTTTTCAGTACAAGTGTCGTATTTACGAAGCACACCTTGGCAGCTCCAGCTCGAAAGTGGCGACTCGCCTTCTCGTTTTACGGTGGCCACGCAAGGGTCCCACCCTAGCTAAGTTGCAACTGCAGGGGTTATTATAGAGCCGTGTGTTAGCTAAGGGTTATCGTTTTTGGGGGAGACCTTATCGTTTTCCATGGTTTTGGCATGTGTTATGCAAAAACGTACCCCGCCTTGATAAAGTGGTCTTCGTGTGTTTTGTCCGTGGCTCATATATATATATATATATATAAGCTCGGTTGCTTTCTGCTCCCCTGGTAAAAGTTTGACTTCTAGTGGTTTAATGGAAAACCCATTAGTTGGCAAAAAAGTAAAGTCCTAACATCCAAGCAAAGTGCACCAAAGATATATGTGGGTCATGGTCGTACTTCACGTGGCTGTAACTAACAGGGTGTCTGAAAAACATGACACAATATCCGTTCATCTTTTTCAGGGGTGTTCCAGTTAGCGCCCAGGATAGGATTCTGAATGACCCATGGTTCACTGAACTAATGTGTATACACATAATTATATGCATGTTTCTACTGGCTTCGAACAATTCCAATTACAGAATTCATGACCATGTCAACCCCTTTGTCGGCTCCGTGTTCACCTAAGATAGCTCACCCACGAGTCAAACCTTTAGTGGGCTAAAACTCCTAAACCGCTCCTCTGCACGTCTAAGGAATTCGCAGGAACCGCGAAGCGGGTATGGGTCAAAATTAAACCATACACCAGGAATCGGACCGGTTTTGGTCCATTCCACTTACTAGGGTTCCATGTGGGGTACCTAGTTTTGACCCACAGCCAAGTGGAGGGCCCCGTTGGAACGCAACGGCGCGACTACCTGCGCCTAGAAGCCCAGGAGCGGCGGAGTGCGGTCCGGGAAGGCCGTGGAAGTAACCACTTGAGTCAGAATCACCTGGTATTAAAAGTAAAATGGCCTACCCAAACCATGTGGGTCATGGTATTTAAATGGTCTACGAACCATGTAAAGAATTCGGAAGGCGGATATCAGCTATTTATGGTTGGGTTTGTCCCTTACTAACCTTCATCTACCCGGGTTTGATTGTGGCTCACCTGGTCTGAACTGGCCTACCCAAACCATGCGAGTCATAATCAAACCCTGCTATTAAAATGGCCTACCCTGAAACAGGGCAAGACATTAAAAAGGCGGCTGCACTCATTTGCCCGGGTGTTGACTTTCAAGGGGCGGAGATCCGCACCGGTTTTTCTGGTTGGGGACTTTTGACGGTGACGCGTTTGATTCCAGGGCTGCACATTAACGGACACGAAAAGGGCTCCCCAACCGGGGTGTTTGAGGGTCCATCTGCCAGAGCCCTTTGCTTCAACCAAATGTAAGCATGATTAGACTGAGGCAGTTCTAGAATATATATTCTATGGTTCGCTTCCCTTTGAGTCTCTGGTAAAATGTATTTGTGGGAAAGACCTGAACATGCCACGACCCCCTGGAGGACCACACGCTCTTGCATGTCAAGCCACTCTTACTCCTTCGATGAACCATGTGGTGTGTTCTCTGCCACCCACAGGAAATGAACCAAAGCAAAGAACCAAGCTGTAAAGCAACACAAGGATTTCGTGGTGAAGTGAAAACCGGTGACCTGGATGACTCTTCACCGTTGGAACTCACCTACCTGGACTCTTGGCGCACCTCCCCCTGTGGCATCCCGAGGCATCTCGCAGTCTTTTCACGCAGATGTCAGGCGGGCCTCGCGCAGGTCTTGCTGTTTCCTCTTGGAAAAACGGACTCGCCTCGAATTGGTGGCTTGGAGCCCGGAGGTGTGGTGGTCCGGGAGTGGTTTCCCATCTACCCCGTCCCGGACAAACAAGTACCAGGGATTCAAATCCCGAAACCACCAATCCAAACCACCAACTTGCCTAGGATGATTCCTTTACCATTCTTTTCAACCAGCGTTCTTTCCAAAAACCACCCGCTGTTCCTCCTGGCTTTTTGATGGCTTCCTCACAGAATTGAATCCCTGGAAAGAATGGGGAAGGTACCCCTAGAGTATTCCTGGCTGTTTACCAATTCAACACTCTCAAAACACCCCAAACAAGATGACACGTGAAGAACAAAAGGTGCATTTCAAAGGAAAACCGCCAAAAGGCAACAGCGTTGAACCGCTGGGCAACTGGGGAAAGGCAGCAAAACAAGAATACCCTTCAGGGCAAACTAAGGTGAACGGCGCCCTACCACTCCTACGGCATGACTTTTAGGGGGCACGCGAGACCAAAAGAAATGTGGGGTCCATTGAAAAGTCCAACCTGAGATGTTCTAGACTTTGGGGGGGGGTGTTGGCGGGGTGGGCGGTACTTGGCTGCCTCTTCTTGGTTGCGAAACTCATATCCCTAGTTATCCGAGCAACATATACTACTTCACCAAAAACCAAACAAACAAACAAACAAACAAACAAAAACGGGCCCCCGTTGCAACCCGTCCAGTGACGTCGTGAAAAAGCATTGCCCAAATTTATAACGGCCAAGTGGGAGCCCTGACTTGTGGAAACACTCGGATTCGCACCTCCGCCAGCTTGATCTGCAGGTCAGCCTCCAGCTTCCCTAACTTCATATCCGAACCCTCTCTCCGCACCCCGCCAAAACAAAACTGGTCTCCCATGGTCTCTCCCGGGGTTAGGGTCTTACAAACAACACCAAAGGCGGTGAAAAGTACGTCCTTCAACTGATATGAAAAACTTTGGCCACCACATCTAGCGAAACTGGCAATGCAAAATGATGTCATTTTGAGCCGTTCTTTTGAAGCGACACCAACCTATAATGGGGTTCCATAATTTGTCAAAGCAATCCAAAAAATGGTTCCCTCAACAACCTAGACGGATGCATTTCAGGACACACCCATTTGGTTCGTCTTTCATGAGGGTTTTGCGGTGTCTAAGGCATTTAGCAGGAACCCAATTTTGGGGGTCCGATTCCCTCACAACCTTTTCCTAAAACGGTGCACCCAGAACCATGCCTCAAGAATCCACCAGGGGCGGCTATCCGCACCCGTTTTCGGGCTGGTTCTCCCTAACCTTCCACCCGACTCGGTTTCCAGGATGTGTGGAACCCGGTTCCGGTTCCGGTTCCGCCAAGCCGCCACAGCTAGGAGCTCTGAGAGCTCCACCGAAGCGTCTGCAGCCTCCATCTGCTGCTTCGCGCGCCTGCACGTGCCGGGGCGCACGCCGAAGTGGCGGCGGAAGTGGATGGATCTGTCACGAAGTTGCTGAGTCTATGCCATAGATCTGCAAGGTTTAGATCTTCAAAACCTCAAACAATCGATTCAAAAATTGAAAGAAGGGCCCCAAGGACTACATCATAGGTCTTCGCTCACTTACCCCCGAATCGGTGCGCTTGCCATGTTGGCACATCGATCTGCCAGATGCATCACTCTGCGGTATTTGTGGGTACTGTGCTGCCCTCTTTCCCCGGCAATCATATATGTATATGGAAGCAAGAAATATGGCCAAGGGAAATCCAAGGGAACTGTTGATTACTGATTGAACCCCCTGCTTTAACGCCAGCCCCAATAATTGAACCCCGCTTTTACCCCAGCAAAACCAACAACCTAACATGTTCCAATGATTGAACCTCCCCTTTTACGCCAGCAAACACCTAAAACACCCTCAAATGATCACGCTCACTTCCCGAGTGGGTTGGCTAAAACAAGTCCAAACTGTTCATTTACCACTAAAATGGTCCAAGCCCAAAAAGCGACGCAAGCCCCACTAAACTCAAGGAGTGAGGATTCCGTGTTTGTTTTGCCCCCCCCGAACTTTAAGATCTTCCCTGCGATCCCGCCTCAGCAACTGCAGCGCCTTTGGCCGCACCTGCTCCGGTGCCCCAAAGTCCGCGGCGTAGAGCAAGACTTGGGCGGCCTCGGGACAAGTTCCCGTTGTTCCATTTGGGGGCTTTTAAGGTCAATCCAACAAGCAATGGTGTCAGCCATGGTTTCAAAGTGGCGCTAGATGGTTTCAAAGTGGTGCGAAAAGTCCCCAGGTCCATTTGAAAATAACCGGTCGCATGAGATCCCGGTCAGGGGGGTCCTTTTTGCCACCTCTTGTGAGAAAATTGGCGACCCCCTCAAGGAATGCTTCACTACAAGGGGGTCGATCATTTTTCCACCAAAGGTGGCAAAAAGCCCCCCCCCCCCCCCGATCCCCCCCGCCTTCTGCAGCACCACGCCCCCGTCCCCGCCGCGGTCGTTCTGGGCGGCCTTGAGACGTTCCAGCGCACCCAGCAGCGGCTCCACCAGCGACAAGAAGTTCCTCGTCGCCGGGCTTCGGACGTTTCCAGTTGCCCCCAGTCCCCAGTGTGTCTGTTTTCGGGGCAGGTGTCGAAACCAAAAAACATAACCAGTGGTTTCAACCACCAACTTGGACACTTGGCTCTAAGCGGCTGAGCTTCTCGATCCCTAGCCTCTGCTGGGATGTTCCTTGCCAAGCTAAGTGGTTAGCCACCTGGGCTATGTATACATGTGTATATATGTGTATGTATGTATGTATATATATATATATACCACCCGCCAACAACTTGGCTAGCTGCAATGAACGGGGTGGCTTATAAGTGGGTGGCTTATAAGTGGGTGACCTAGACCCACTTACGGACTTGATTTTCCAGAGACGCTTGCCTTCTTAAAAGCAGGAACAAAATCATGCGGAGTCCTTATAGAGATTCCTGAAATCATGACTTTTCAGGTTGCATAAGGGCAAACAACACCGGCTTTCTGCCTTGGGTGCGTACACTCCACAGAAACGCGTACAGAAGCCATGAGACAGCTAACCTCAGAGGCAGCAATCAATGGGTGTAGCTCAAAATTAAACAGGAGGGGTTACGCAGGTTTTGGTCCATGTTTCCACTTACCAGGGTTCCATTTTGGGTAGCGCCCCTATGTTAAGATAACCCCCTATGACATATCTTTTGGGATTGACACTTTTTCGAAGCAGGCTCTGAACATGTGTTTTTTCTGTGTACCTTAACCATGCATAATTATGAAAGTTGTTCAACATCAATCGGCAAGATCCTTCTACCCGAGAGTGTTTTCCCTTCTGCCCCATTAAGGATTAGGGTTTCGGATCTCATTTTGGACCCAGACAAAATGACAACAAGCGGGGGAATACCAAGGTGGTGCTTGTTCTTCGTCCTACTCGGTTAAACTCCAGGGTTGGCAGTTGGCAAATGGCAGAAGCCACTTGGGCACGGCACAAAAGGCGGGTTTGGCTCCTCTTGGGTTTGTCTCAAAATAGGGGGCCCTCAAGATGTCTGAGCTTCCTTTTGTCCTTCCTCCACCCACCCAGAAAGGGCCCCATCAAACAATTGCAAGCCCTCTCGGGGGACTTACAAGTGGCACAAAGGCCAAGGTTGCCACCAACCTTCTGACGCGGCCGCACACTCAAGTGGAAAACCGTCAGCATTCACTCGCGTGTCAACATGTCGTCAAGCGCCCTTTGGGACCTTTGTTGAAGGAGCCCCATGTGAACACTATGTCTAGGTCCCCCAGTAGTGCCCTTCTCTCTCCTTTCTTGGGGGAGGGTTCCGCTACTAAAATAGACTACAGAAAAAGTTGGTATCCTTATTCTAACCTCTCTACTGGAGGACCTAGTTGATATAGTTTTGTTTTAGGTCACATTGATTGCTGCCTCTGAGGTTAGCTGTCTCATGGCTTCTGTATGCGTTTCTGTGGAGTGTACGCACCCAAGGCAGGAAGCCGGTGTTGTTTGCCCTTATGCAACCTGAAAAGTCATGATTTCAGGAATCTCTATAAGGACTCCGCATGATTTTGTTCCTGATTTTAAGAAGGCAAGCGTCTCTGGAAAATCAAGTCCGTCAGTGGGTCTAGGTCACCCACTTATAAGCCACCCCGTTCATTGCAGCTAGCCAAGTTGGCGGGTGGTATATGGCTGTGGCTCAAAAAACCGGCCCAAGACGGCCCATTTCTTTTGGCGAAAAGCGACGCCCATGATTCTTTGAAGACCCCCTAGAAATTCAGCTCACGTAGTCAGTCTAACCCCCCCCCCCCCAAGACAAAAGAAGTCTACCCCTCCCCCCCGGAACAAACAAAAAGCCACCCCCCCCCTCCACAACAAAAAAAGTCTCCCCCCTCCACAACAAAAAAAGTCCCCCCCCCCCCCTCCACAACAAAAAAAGTCCCCCCCCCCCCAACAAACAAAAAGACACAAAAATAAGCCCAGGTAATAGCCTCGCAGACCCAAACCACGACACCAATCTGCGAGACAAGCCATCCCACTCGCCTGGGCTCCACTGCTGCCTCGCGGTCTCGGATTGGAGCGGTTGGGCCACTCGACTTGGCCAAATCGAGTGGTGAACGTGTTGGATACCCACCCTTTGAGCCTTTAACAGGTCCTCCAGTAGAGAGGTTAGAATAAGTTGGTACCGTGTCTTTTTCTTTTTTGACTATTTTAGTAGGGGAACCCTCCCAACCAAAAAAGGGGAGAGAAGGGCATTACTGGGGACCTAGTTAATCGGAAAAAGAACGCCAATCATCAGGAAGAATCGCTTGGGCTGGCAAAATCGACTCGTGCCCACGGCCGTCCCGAAAAAAAAAGAGGTGCGGCTGCGAATTTGAAGAGGAGCTGCTCTGTTCAACCCTGGGAGGGTGCAAATTGGTTTCTGCAAGAAACTGAGTGTGCCTTTTAAGGATCACCACCCATTTGGGGAGCCTAATCCCGATTTTGACGCATGCTGGTTAAAGGGACACAAAGAAAATCGCCAACGATGGGGGGGGGTCCAAATCCCTATTTTGACACACACACCCAAATCAAAGGAGGAACCAAACACATGACTTGATCGACTCTTACCCAGTTGCAACCTGTGGCCCTGGTGAACCCTCTTTGGGCTGAAATGAAAGCGGGAGCCACTGAGGTGAGCAAAGCCCAACTTTTGGTACTCATCTGGCTGTAAAGATTTATACACTATAGGCTTTCCTATGAACACCAATCAAGCCAGGTAGTAGAACCACCTACTCCACACACTCGTAAGCGAGACCGAAGCCCAGTGGAACCACCTACTAAAATGGCCACTGGAGGTGTGCGGCCAACTGGAATTGGAGGCTTTCGTCCTCTCAAGCCGAGTTGGCGCTCATTCGCCCGGAAGTGAAGCGGTAATGGCCCCTTCTTTGGCCACGCCGGTTTCGAAACACCACCTGGTTCATTGGCCCAATGTGTCCCAGTTCAAAGGCGGATCCGGAATCCGGACATGTCCCTTTTCGAGCAAAACCTGTTTCGCGGTACTTTATTTTTTGGAACCCCAACGCGCGAAAAGCGCTTCTCGGAGGTCCGCAAAGGAACCCCAACCTCGACACGTCGAGTTCGACGCGCAAAAAACGCTTCTCGGAGGCAAAGGTCCTGAAGCCGCAACCAAATGACCCGGCCTGGTAGCAAACTTCCCCCCTCCCCCCAACTGAGCTGGGAACAGGAAGGGAAAGCCGCACTTGCAGACGGGTCCATTTTGTTTCCTGGAAATTAATGGATGAAGTTCTTCCATGTTTCTTTTTTTTTTCTAGGGGAGGTCGGAGGGGGTGCATGAACGGCAACTTCAGTTCAAGCTGCCGCTACGACACAAATATGGGTGTGCGCTTTTTGAGGGGTTCCTTTCTAAGGTTGGTTTGAGAGGGACATCAAAAGGAAGCCCGCCATTTTCAGACCGGGGAAGATTTGTCATGCCTCCAAGAGAAAACCCAGTAAACCTGTGTACTTTTATGTTTCCCAAAAGGTCTTTACAGGCCTACCCGGGGCCAACCGCTCCACCCTCCCGGAAACCCTTCCGAAAACCCTCCCTAAAAGCTGCCCTGAGCCGCAGCAGCGTCGAGGAAACACCGCCTCGACTCGACAAGGAATGGCTGCAGGCCTCACCCGAGCCGTCGTCCAGGAGAAGGTCCTGCTCCGGTGACGTGCGACCCCGGGAACTTGAGCTCTCTGGGTGCTGGGCTGGGAAGAATTGAAAAACGACAAAACACACACCCTGGTTTCATGAAAAGTGAAACCTCCGTTGCTTGGCACCCTCTAAAAAACAAACTTGTCAAAGCTGTTGTTTTGACCCAGAGGGTTTCTTGAGGGTTTCTTGGTACCTAAGGATGCCCTTGAGGGGCAAGCAGGGGTCATTCGGTACATAACAAGGGGCCCTTACAAGTGAGGGCATATTAGTCTTGTGTCGAGGTTTTACCACTTTGTGTGGTGTTTGAGGTCCTAATCGAAAACCACAAGAAACAACAATTGTTGGTGCTCACCTCAAAAAAGACACACCCATGTTGCAAGCCGATTAAACGGTTGATGACCACCCTTGCAAATACAAAGGTTTTCAGCGCGAGCTATACGTGAATACTCTGCAATAGTATCAGCAAGCACTAGAGGGCGACCCTAATAAGACTGCAAAAGCATCTGTCGCTACAGCCTACACGCAAAGGCATCTTTTGACCGTGGCACATATGGGCTTGTGTTCTCTTGAGGGCTTTCTTCAGAAGGATTTGACTGGAAACGAAAGGAAAGCCATGATTTGGAGTCCGGCAGTTTGAAACATTCGCGTATAAGCCAAGGCCCAAAGACACATGTCCAAGAGGATATGGAAGATGGACATTTAGAGAGTCCCCCGTGTGTGTGTGTGTGTGTGTGTGTGTGTGTGTGTGTGTGTGTGTGTGTGTGTGTGTGTGTGTGTGTGTGTGTGTGTGTGTGTGTGTGTGTGTGTGTGTGTGTGGGTGTGGGTGTGGGTGTGGGTGTGGTGTGGGTGTGTGGTGTGGGTGTGGTGTGTGTGGTGTGGGTGTGGGTGTGGGTGTGGGTGTGTGTGTGGTGTGTGGTGTGGGTGTGGTGTGTGTGGGTGTGTGTGTGTGGGTGTGTGGGTGTGTGGGTGTGTGGGTGTGTGGGTGTGTGGGTGTGTGGGTGTGTGGGTGTGGGTGTGGTGTGTGGGTGTGTGGTGTGTGGGTGTGTGGGTGTGTGGGTGTGTGGGTGTGTGGGTGTGTGGGTGTGTGGGTGTGTGGGTGTGTGGGGTGTGTGGGTGTGTGGGGGTGTGGGGGTGTGGGTGTGGGTGTGGGTGTGGGTGTGGGTGTGGGTGTGGGTGTGGGTGTGGGTGTGGGTGTGGGTGTGGGTGTGGGTGTGTGGGTGGGTGTGTGGGTGTGGGTGTGTGGGTGTGGGTGTGTGGGTGTGGGTGTGGGTGTGGGTGTGGGTGTGGGTGTGGGTGTGGGTGTGCCTGTGCCTGTGCCTGTGCCTGTGCGTGTGCCTGTGTGTGTCTGTGTCTGTGTCTGTGCCTGTGTCTGTGTCTGTGTCCGTGTCCGTGTCTGTGCCTGTGCCTGTGCCTGTGCCTGTGTCTGTGTCCGTGTCCGTGTCTGTGTCTGTGTCTGTGTTTTTTGCTGTTGTTTGTTTTTGTTTGTTTGTTTGTGTGTGTTTTTGTTGGGGGGATCTAGCGAGTCCCCCAAGGTCCATCCCAAAAAAAGCAATAAACTGCTGGAACTGTCGACCAAACCTCGTATGGAGCAGTCATTTTTTGAGGGTACCCTTCCTGGGTTTGGTTTAAAAGGACGCCAAGTGGAACATCACCATTTGGGGGTCTCCTATTCTACGTGGAAACTAGGAAGAAACCATTTTGTGGGCTTTAAAAGGGCTCCAACAGGACACCAAAGCAAACCATTTCTGGGGTTCTCTCTTACTCTGAGTGGATAGGCCCAAAAAAGTATATTTGCCACTAACATGTCTTCCCAAAAAGATTAAAGTCCAGGAACTCAGGAAGTAAGTTTAAGGCACTCTCATATTTCTGACCCCGAGCAGCCAAAAGACAATGCGAGCACCCGTCGCCCCAGAAGTCCTCTACCTGATCCAGCAGCTCGTAGAGGGCCGAGGGATGAAGAGCATCCATCTTGGCCTGCACCTGGCTGGACACCTTCCGCTGTCAAGAAAAACCAACAAATTGGGCCAAACAACTCTAGCAACTGATGCTGGGGGAAATTACTTGGGTCTCTTAGCAACCTACTTACCAGGGATTTCAAGTATCCCTGGCTCCTTGGCTCCCTCCTTTCCTCTTTACAGCAACCCCGAGAAAGGTGCCCTTGAACAAAACCACACTTACCCAACGGGAAATACGGGATCCGGTCAAGAGCCTTCATCGCGGGTGAGCTCGATCCCATCACCCCAGATCGGTCGTTCTGTTCGGATTCGCCCAGTTCAGATGCCAAAGTTACGCGTACTCCGAGGCCCGAGGGCTTGTCGCCCCGCCAGTCTCGGGGCCCTGCTTCAAGGTGGGTTTCGCTTTGGTCTAAGCTGGCCCCAAGGTCAATTCCATCAGTTTCGAGGCCGAGAACACGAGACGCCCGCCGTCCTCGAACACGACACATGCCCAATTTGAGGCACCGCTTGGTAGAGGTGGTTTGCACATGTATGCCAATATTTGCGAGGTTTCATCCATCCCAACAGGATTTGGTCCATCCACAGCATCTAGGTCCTCCCGTGGAGAGGTTAGAATAAGGGTACCAACTTTGTTCTGCAGTCTATTTGGGGGACCTAGGCATGATAGTTAAATGGTCGGCAGAGCCCGTCTTGAATATGTGAGCCAGGGTCGGCCGTCGGTAAGCTTCAAACTGGGACAGGCTCTTAAGAAGTCGCACAGCCCAAAACAAACCAACAAGCACAGGGAGAAAAGCCCAAGGCTCCTTGGACAAGTTCGGAAGGCGCATTCTTAGGGTTCTCATCGAAGCATTCTGGATGTTACAAAAATAGGAATCGGTCCCCTAAACTTCTAAGACGGTCAGGTTCCTGTGATTTTCCTTAGATACCAACTAAAAGGAGGTCCGAAATCCATTTGGAGAACCCCCCCATGTTGTCTATAATTGTTCTAGCCGTGCCTTCCAATCTCTTCAGGGAGACAACTCTTCAAAAAAAGCCAAACCGCTGTGACGTTGAGTGGTTTCTAAAGTTTTCAATAACAGTGGGAAATTATACCCTTGGAGGCTTCCCGAAAATGAGCATATAGACAATTTCGGGCATAGCTCCGTCCACAAGCAACCAACGAATCCCACTCAACTATCCCAAGCGACCCTCTTGCGCAAAACTAGTTCCCTCGGACAATTATTCACCCCCTATGGGTGTTTTGGTTGAGTGCCCTTGTTGGGACACCCAAAGTAGGGTTTTACTTGTCTATACACGTGTCTAAAAAAAGGATCGGACCCCCCAAAATGGTTGTCCCGTTGGTTTTTCTTTAAAAATAATGAAAAGGGAGTGTTCCGGGCTCTAACAGGATGAGCCACCCACGCATATGTATAGATACACATTGTATATATATATATATGTATATATATATATGTATGTATGTATGTGTATCTATACAAATAGAATGTAGACATATATATATATATGTATGTATATATATATATATGCATATTACTATCATATTACGCAAACTCCCTTGCCTCCAGGGCCGCGCGCAGTGCTTCGAAGGCCCGCATGGGGTGACTCACCTCAGGAAAGTCGTGAGTCGGAAAAGGCTCCAATGCCAAGAGGTGCTCTGCGCGTTTGGAGGTACACCCTTTTCACATGGAACCTGACAAGGGGGGGAGGGCCCTGCAAGTCAAGTTTCCTTTTAAAGGGACCCCCGAACGTCAGGTTCCAAGTGAATTGGTGGGAGGGTAGTTTGTTCTTCAACATGTTTTGGGCAACGTTGCCACGAAACCTGACTGAGGGGACCCAGTCTATTTTCCTTCTGTCTTGTTGTTGAGGGTCTTTTCTTGGGGCCGGTCTAGAGGGAAACTGAAGCCTGTGTTTAGCGTCCCTCTATTTGAAAAAATGACACACTCATATGGCTGTGTTTTTTTTGAAGGCATGTAATGCGCGGCGCGGCACGAATCTTGTTACGGAGGTCGGTAACAGAGGTCCTTGTTACGGAGGTCTGTAACGGGAAAACAGTGCCTGACAAGTAGCAGTAGCAAAAGGTAGTGCAGAACAACAAAGTGCCTCCGCTTCAGGCTGACAGTTGCAACTGTTCAGTGCAAGTGCGGCACTCGCACCTCCGCAGCTCCCGCTTGACAATTGCAATTGTTCAACGCAGCCAAGCCACGGCAAAAAGGGGTCGCTTGCCCGGGCTGGGGTTGGGTCTGTAACGAGGTGTGTGATGTACGCAAAGCGCCAGGTCTTTCTGTATGTCAGCTTGAAGGCGTCCTTTCTTTAAGCTCATCCAAAACGGCTCGGATTCGGGAAAGTGAGTATCGCCTTTGGGAATCTTAATCTCGGCTGCTTTCTGCTCCCCTGCTAAAAGTTTAACTTTCAGTGGTTTAATGGAAAACCCATTAGTTGGTAAAAATTAAAGTCCGGACATCCAAGCAAAATGCACCAAAGAAACCGTAGGCACTCCGCCGTGAGTTCCTCTTTGCCGTTTAGACTCCTCCCGTGACGAGGTTGACCCCACTAGAGACGAGGTGAACCCCACTTTAGGAGGCTTACAAGTGTGCTATATGCTAAGTGACCACGAACCTCCTAACTTGGCAGCGAACACCCAAGCTTCCAGTGCGCTTTCGCCCCGGGACAAAACAAAACCAAATGTCAGTGGTGAAATCGATTCCCTTTAAACCCAAGAAGGGACAAGGGAAGGCAACATAGCTTTCCAAGGTTCCTTGGCGCAAAAGCAAAATATCTTATCCTGAACCTGCCGCACGTTTTTGGAACAAGCTGCTGGCAACTATACCCCCCCCCCCCCAAACCCCCCCCCCCCCGCCGCCTAAGCCAAGGGAAGCGAGGGCGAAATTTGGTCGGCGTCCGAGCCTTGGCAGCTTGCGCCAGGCCCAGGCAGCAGCGCCCAAAGGCCGAGTTTCGACCCACCTGGGAACCAAACAACTCATTCCGTCGGAAACAGTTGGTGCTTGTTTGCCTCGATTTCATGTGTGATCCGGCTGGTTTGTGGCAATTCATGTGTTTTGCTTCCCTCTCGCCAGCCCTGAACAAAGGGGAACTCATTCCATGGGAGGAAATACGACATGCCCAATCTGAGGCACCGCTTAGTAGAGGTGGTTTCCCCCATTTATGCCAATACTTGCGAGGCTTCATCCATCCCAACAGGATTTGGTCCATCCGCAGCATCTAGGTTCTTTAGTGGAGAGGTTAGAATAAGGGTACCAACTTTTTTCTGCAGTCCACCCCAGTAGGGGAACCCTCCCAACCAAAAAACAAACGATAAAAGGGCACTGCTGGGCTGGGGGACCTAGACCAGCTTCCCTCAAAACGATTTGTTTGGAGCCTGGTGGTTTGGTTTGGTGGAGTGGTTTCCCAAATTCCATCCATGCTGTGGATGGTTGCGAAATCCATTTCGCACTGGAAATGCCAACAAACAATGGTTTCCCATGGTTTCAAAGTGGTGCAGGATTTCGTCCATCCACAGGATGGGTAGACCTAAGCCATCATTTAGGAGAGGTGTTCAAATCCCCTGAAATGGCAACGGGCTTTGCTGTTGGCGTCCCTTTAAACATACCAAGGGGAAACCTGAAAGTGATTGGTTACCTATACAGCACTAGGTAAACGGGTGTGTCTCCCCGATAGGGGACCCCAAACATGGTGGCGTTCCCTTTCATCTCCCGAGAAAAAATACAACCGTTCACTGTTCACCCCAACAATTGCATCTTTCGCCTCCAAAAAAAACAACAAGAGGACACACTCCAAACCCAACAAAACAACTTCTGGCTTAAACATCGGATATGTTTCCCCGGGTTGTTTGTGAATGTTCCCTTTGGTTTCTTACTTCACCGCCCGAACGGTATGGGCTTGCAAAAAATGAATTCTGTTTGTTGCAGCCCCCAAAACAGAGCCAAACAAAAACAAAGAACAGTTGCCAAGAACAGTGACAAAAATGATTCAAGCGACCCCTGATTACTTGCTGGTGCGATAGCTAGGGAATGACCTTCTTGGTGAAGGAACCACAAGAGATTGGTTGTAGGGGCCATTCCCTCATCCCCTCAACCTCTCAGTTATTAAACAGTTATTAAACAGGGGCCAGGGGGTCCTTTTTTTAGTGGTGCTTTTTTTCTTAGAAGAAGCCACCCCGATTTAACTACGAGGGGTTTCTTTGTCCTGGGGTCAACATTGTCAAATGGTATCCCGGGTGAGTGGCCCCTTTTGGAACAACCCAAAGACATGGTGACTTACTATGGTGACTTACTTTGGTGACGTGGGAACTACCCCTCCAGGCGCGCAGCATTCCCTTGCCAAGTGGATGCCGTACGACTGGCGTGTGGTGTCTCCCCCTCCACATGTAAAGCCTCGGTGAATTTTCATTGTCACCAACCTACAGAAACGGACCCCCAAACAGGAACCTACAAAAGGGAAGAACCACACATACAAGTAAAAGCTTTAAGAAATGAGTGCTTCCAAAGAAAGGACCCTTCTTTTCTTTTCTGGATGGCTCTAAAGCTCACTCCCTGGTCCAGCCCATCGCCCCCTCGGGGCTCCCTACCAGTTCTTCAAAGGCACCGCAAGCCGCTTCGTACCTGAAGTGGCGCTGAAGAGCGCCGCCAATGAGCCCCGCAAAGAGCAAACGTGGATGTTGGGCCAAGTTCGTGTCTGAGGTGTGCGAAAATCCACCAACGGGGTTATCTCCACTAAGGGGAGATCAGCTGGTGCTTCTTTACCTCTGGTTTGTGGTGGCCATTCATGTGTTTTGCTTCCATCCCATCCCAGCCCTGAACAAAGAGAAACTCTTCGGGCTCCCCTAGGTCCTCCAGCTACTGCAGGTTAGAATAAGTTGGTACCCGACTTTTTTCTGCTTCTGTCTATTTTAGTAGGGGAACCCTCCCAATTAAAAAAGAAACGGCTAAGCGGGGCACCTAGCTGGGGACCTAGGAGGGAAATCCACCAAAAGGCTTCCAGCGGCTGGAGGCCATCGCCTTCGCCTCGAACCGGCGAACCTAAAACTGGCCAAAAGATAGACACAGATGTATGAACCTACCTCCATTTGCTTAAGCCCACAGGAACAAACATGAATCATATCTCCAGTAGTGATAGATGGAAGGAAATGGGAGGACATGTCCACCTCCATTCGCTTTTGCGCCCCCCTGGGAAAAATAAAAATAGTTCCAGTAGTGAAATCGATTCCCTTTAAAACCAACAAAATCTTAACCAAATGGAAGTATAACTTCAGATTCTGAACATAGATAGACTTCAATATGTGTTTTCCAGTCTTTTCTTCCCGAATTAGTTCCATGGCTTGTACAGCATTCAGCTTGTCGAATCTCTGTGCATTATCACTGAGACTGTGGAAAATATGAAACAAAACCACCATCCAACCAAAAAAAACATCCTGAACATCATTACCTTGGTCGGTAATCACAAATCTCCATCCCCTAATCCCCCACACCTTCCCCGAACAAATTCCAGGAGTTTGCTACGTTCGGTGCCGGAAGACGCACTGGAGGCAGAAAGTCGAAACACTTTGGGAAGTGAGCCTGGAGTAAGAGTTTCTGGTGGAAAACCCTAAGGCCCTCTCGCAGGACTGAAAGGTTGATAGAATGGTTCTTTTTCTGGTAAGGGGAAGAAACACTCAGAGACAGGAAGACCTTCTTGAGGTTCTGGAACCTGCCTCTCCCGGCCAGCGCAGGCTTGCGCGCCTCTGCAAGGCCGGCTGGCAGTCCGCCAGCGACTCCTGGACCTGGAAGGGAACCAACAGTTTCCCTTCTCAGCTTCCAAGGTGTCTTGGAGGTTTGGTTTGGAGGCACTCCATCCCGCAACGAGCAGGGCCTTCAAATCCCCAACCCAAACCACCAATTGGAGGCTACCAGAATTTCCCTCCGGTCACCACCCCCCCCCCCCCAAAAAAATGGGGGTTCTTAAACGACACGCATAGAGAAACCGTAGAAAACCGATTTGGAGCGGGGGCCAAATTGAGTCTGCCATTCAAAAGACTCCCCCAGCTGACCGCAAAGCAGATCCCAGTCGACTGGACTTCAAAGATGAAATGGAGGCGGCAGCTTGGCTTCAATAGGCAATTGTGCGTAGGGTTTTTCCCAAAAGCATCTCTGATGCTTGGGTTCTGCTTTAGGTTTTCTCTTAAGGTGCCTGGGAGCGATACAAGCTGTGACGACGGAGATAAGAAGGGATTTCCATGTCGTTGTGCTGCAGACCGGGCGTGCGATGCCGGCTGGGGGTGCAGACCGGGCGTACGAGGCTGGCTGGGGGGACGGCGGCGTGGGGCTGGCTGGGTGCGCGAGACTGGCGCGGTGGACGCTCGTGATAAGCGGAAACCCCCCCCGAGCGTGACAGGCGGAAGCCGCCCCCGAGCGAGACTGGCGCGGTGGACGCTCGGGGCATGCGGAAACCGCCCGCGAGCGAGACTGGCGCGGTGGACGCTCGTGACAAGCGGAAACCGCCCCCGAGCGAGACGGGCGCGGGGGACGCTCGTGACAGGCCGAAAGCGAGACGGGCGCGGGGGACGCTCGTGACAGGCCGAAACCGCCCCCGAGCGAGACGGGCGCGGGGGACGCTCGTGACAGGCCAAAACCGCCCCCGAGCGAGACGGGCGCGGGGGACACTCGTGACAGGCCGAAACCGCCCCCGAGCGAGACGGGCGCGGGGGACGCTCGTGACAGGCCGAAACCGCCCCCCAGCGAGACTGGCGCGGGGGACGCTTGTGACATGCAGAAACGCTCGTGACAGGCCGAAACCGCCCCCGAGCGAGACGGGGCGCGGGGGACGCTCGTGACAGGCGGAAACCGCCCCCGAGCGAGACGGGCGCGGGGGACGTTCGTGACAGGCCGAAACCGCCCCCGAGCGAGACGGGCGCGGGGGACGCTCGTGACAGGCCGAAACCGCCCCCGAGCGAGACGGGCGCGGGGGACGCTCGTGACAGGCCGAAACCGCCCCCGAGCGAGACGGGCGCGGGGGACGCTCGTGAAAGGCCGAAACCGCCCCCGAGAGACGGGCGCGGGGGACGCTCGTGACAGGCCGAAACCGCCCCCAAGCGAGACGGGCGCGGTGGACGCTCGTGACAGGCGGAAACCGCCCTCGAGCGAGACTGGCGCGGTGGACGCTCGTGACAGCCGAACACGCTCAGCCGAGCGAGCACTGGCGCGGGGGAACGCTCGTGACACCAAAACTTCAAACAAACCCCGAAAACCGCCCCCAAGCCCAGACTGGCAGCGTGGACGCTCGTGACGTGCGGAAACCGCCCGCGAGCGAGACTGGCGCGGTGGACGCTCGTGACAAGCGGTAACCGCCCCCGAGCGAGACGGGCGCGGGGGACGCTCGTGACAGGCCGAAACCGCCCCCGAGCGAGACGGGCGCGGGGGACGCTCGTGACAGGCCGAAACCGCCCCGAGCGAGACGGGCGCGGGCAGGCCGAAACCGCCCCCCGAGACGGGCGCGGGGGACGCTCGTGACAGGCCGAAACCGCCCCTGAGCGAGACGGGCGCGGGGGACGCTCGTGACAGGCCAAAACCGCCCCCGAGCGAGAGGCGCGGGGGACGCTCGTGTAAGGCCGAAACCGCCCCCGAGCGAGACGGGCGCGGGGGACGCTTGTGACAGGCCGAAACCGCCCCCGAGCGAGACTGGCGCAGTGGACGCTCGTGACAAGCGGAAACCGCCCGCGAGCGAGACTGGCGCGGGGGACGCTCGTGAGAGGCCGAAACCGCCCCCGAGCGAGACGAGCGGGGGACGCTCGTGACAGGCCGAAACCGCCCCCGAGCGAGACTGGCGCGGTGGACGCTCGTGACATGCGGAAACCGCCCGCGAGCGAGACTGGCGCGGTGGACGCTCGTGACAAGCGGAAACCGCCCCCGAGCGAGACGGGCGCGGGGGACGCTCGTGACAGGCCGAAACCGCCTTCGAGCGAGACGGGCGCGGGGGACGCTCGTGACAGGCCGAAACCGCCCCCGAGCGAGACTGGCGCGGTGGACGCTTGTGACAAGCGGATACCGCCCGCGAGCGAGACGGGCGCGGGGGACGCTCGTGACAGGACGAAACCGCCCCCGAGCGAGACGGGGCGCGGGGGACGCTCGTGAGAGGCCGAAACCGCCCCCGAGCGAGACGGGCGCGGGGGACGCTCGTGACAGGCCGAAACCGCCCCCGAGCGAGACGGGCGCGGGGGACGCTCGTGACAGGCCGAAACCGCCCCCGAGCGAGACGGGCGCGGGGGACGCTCGTGACCCGAGCGAGACGGGCGCGGGGGACGCTCGTGACAGGCCGAAACCGCCCCCGAGCGAGACTGGCGCGGTGGACGCTCGTGACAAGCGGAAACCGCCCGCGAGCGAGACTGGCGCGGGGCACGCTCGTGAGAGGCCGAAACCGCCCCCGAGCGACACGGGCGTGGGGGGCGCTCTTGACAGGCCGAAACCGCCCCTGGGAAACCGCACCCGAGCGAGACTGGAGCGAGACTGGCGCGGTGGACGCTCGTGACGTGCGGAAACCGCCCGCGAGCGAGACTGGCGCGGTGGACGCTCGTGACAAGCGGAAACCGCCCCCGAGCGAGACGGGCGCGGGGGACGCTCGTGACAGGCCGAAACCGCCCCCGAGCGAGACGGGCGCGGGGGACGCTACAGGCAGAAACCACCCCCGAGCGAGACGGGCGCGGGGGACGCTCGTGACAGGCGGAAACCGCCCTCGAGCGAGACAAATGGCGCCGATGTGTTTCCAGGACAAACCCTCTCTTGAGAAGCTGTGGCCTCTTGGGGTTCGCCCTACTTATTTGGAAGCAGCCTGGAAGCACGTTGAAAATGTTTATGCTGAGCACACTCGGCCAAACAAAAGGGCGTACGAACATCCGAACGGCTGACCCCAGTCTACGCAGATTGTGTCTCAGACTTGTTTCAGACAGGCGTCAGACCCACCAAGTGACCGAGGCTTGTCCACACCGAGCCCCCGCACTTCTTGCCGCACACAGGACCCGAACAAACGCCAATGTGTTTCTAGGACTCTCTTGAGAAGCTGTGGCCTCTTGGGGTTCGCCCTGCTTATTTGGAAGCAGCCTGGACGCAGGTTCACATGAATATGCTGAGCACACGCGGCCCAGACAAAAGGGCGCACGAACATCCGAACAGCTAACCCCGGTCTACGCGGATCTTGGTAACACTGTGTCTCAGACTTGTTTCGGACAGGCGTCAGACCACCAACACAACATCCCAAGACACATGCAAACAGGCCAACACAAAAAAACCATCACAATCCAAACAAAACCAAACAACCAAAAACACATCACCACCAAGTGACCGAGGCTTGTCTACGCCGAGCCCCCCGCAAAAGCACAGCGCCGGCCCCCTCCCACCCAACTTGCCATCTACACGCATCCAATTGACAATGTGCGCGGCTCTTTCCACAAAGTCACCAGTTGCAATTGGTTGCGAATGGGAAAATACGTGGAGCAACTAACGAATCCAAGCAAGCATACGAAGCAAGTTTGTGAAGGCCACGTGGCTCCATGTGAACAGCCCGGCGTTGCAGGTGCGCCAAAATTGTCCTTTTTGCCGCACACCTGACCCGAACAAAGGGTGCCGATGTGTTTCTAGGACGAACCCTGTCTTGAGAAGCTGTGGCTTGGGGTTCGTCCTACTGTTTCTAGGACGAACCCTGTCTTGAGAAGCTGTGGCTTGGGGTTCGTCCTACTTATTTTGCCGCACACCTGACCCGAACAAATGGTGCAAATGTGTTTCTATCAGAAGGTGTAGCCTCTTGGGGTTCGCCCTACGTATTTGGAAGCAGCCTGGAAGCACGTTGACATGAATATGCTGAGCACGCTCGGCCCAAACAAAAGGGCGCATGAACATCCGAACAGCTGACCCCGGTCTACGCAGATCGTGGCAACACTGTGTCTCAGACTTGTTTCGGACAGACGTCAGACCCACCAAATGACCGAGGATCGTCCACACCGAGCCTCCCCGCAAAAGCGCAGCGCCGGCCCCGTCTCCACGCAACTTGCCATCCACACTCATTTAATTGACAGCGTGCGCGGCCCTTTCCACAAAGTCACCAGTTGCAATTGGTTGCGAATGGGAAAATCGGTGGAGAAACTAGCGAATCCAAGCAAGCTTACGAAGCAAGTTTGTGAAGGCCACGTGCACGGCTCCATGTGAACAGCCCGGCGTTCACCGCGCGCCAAGATTGTCCTTTTTGCCGCACACCTGACCCGAGCAAATGGCGCCAATGTGTTTCTAGGACTTTAGAGTCTGTGGCCTCTTGGGGTTCGCCCTACTTATTTTGCCGCACACCTGACCCGAGCAAATGGCGCCAATGTGTTTCTAGGACGAACCCTCTCTTCAGAGTCTGTGGCCTCCCGGGGTTCGCCCTACCTAGAGAGCCGAGAGTGCTATCCTACAAGCCTTCCCACAGAAAGGCTTATCTTGGACCGCGCGATCTGGCGAGATAGCACTCTTGGTTATATGAGCCTTTACACGATGAATTCTTGGATTTTGAGCTTTGTTGCAGTTTCTACCCGGCTCACACGCTGTGTTTGTCATGGGGGGGGGTTGGCGGCTTTTGATTTTGAAGAGATGTGACCCTGGCAGCTGCGAGTGTGCTGCAAGAAGCGCTCGGCCTTTGCAGCTTTCCTCCGGGCACGGGCGCAGCTGCAAGCAGCGCACGCACGGTAAACAGAAAAGCCTTAAAGCGGCCAGCAAATTCAAACCGCGCAGCGCGCAGCCAACCAAAACTGCAGAGCCAAAT